CAGCGGTCGGTACTCCTATGCCGTTAATCTGAGGCAGGGGTGGTACAGATGTCAATGTTTCTACCACTGCGCTCCCCGGGGACTGCATCCTCCTCCTTTTTCTCGGTGCTTTTCCGGCTTGCTTTGGGGGCATTGTTCCTGAAAACAATACTAAAATCGTGTAAAACATGCCAAAATGATAGAATCTTGATTACAATGTTTACCTGTTACCCAGCAATCACTTTATATATCTTGTCGCCTTACGATATGTGCGAATTAATGAAAAAATTAATTAAACTAAACACTGGGTAACGTATCAACAATTACTTAAGTGAAGCACACAGTGCAATCGCAACTGAACTTCCTCAAACGATCATTAGCAATAAAATAATATAGAACTTATCAATCCAATGTTTTTCGCTAGGTACATACCATAAATATTAGGCACAGTTTAGAAACTTGATAGACAAAAACCATTTTTTTTTTTAATCAAGTGCGACTGGTAAAAAACATGTAGGAAGACTACAATTCTGTACTGTTATTTAATACTTGGATAAATAGGTACATAACAACTTTGAACCTAAAACTCCCACACAATAAGTACATATATGCGGCCTAAACCGTACCAATGTTAAACATGGGTAGTCACAGATAAACTTTGCACCTAAACTCCCATACAATGAGTACATATATGCGGCCTACTCTGTACCATTGTTAAACATGGGTAAGCACAGATAAACTTTGCACCTAGACTCCCATACAATGAGTACATATATGCGGCCTTCTCTGTACCATTGTTAAACATGGGTAAGCACAGATAAACTTTGCACCTAGACTCCCATACAATGAGTACATATATGCGGCCTTCTCCGTACCATTGTTAAACATGGGTAGGCACAGATAAACTTTGCACCTAGACTCCCATACAATGAGTACATATATGCGGCCTACTCTGTACCATTGTTAAACATGGGTAGGCACAGATAAACTCTGCACCTAGACTCCCATACAATGCGTACATAATATGCGGCCTTCTCCGTACCATTGTTAAACATGGGTAGGCACAGATAAACTTTGCACCTAGACTCCCATACAATGAGTACATATATGCGGCCTACTCTGTACTATTGCTTAACACGTGGGTATGTTCATATATTGACTGTGTACCTCTACTTCCAAACAATAATTACATAAGACCTAAACGTCATACCGATTGTTATCAATAATAATCAGACAGAATATATACTTTGACTTCTAGTTTCCTACCTATATTGTACGAAAGAAACGAGATAATGCGAAACAATGCCCAGATAAATAACTGCTTCATAAGACGAAACCATTGTCATTATGAGCCACCTGGTCCTGAATATGTCTCGTCAGTAACAAGTTCACCAAACATGCATGCATGATTCTAAATATTTCGAACCTTGATTTAATTGCCTAACAGCAAACAGCCATCAAGACATCAACTAGCCTTTAACAAACAGCACTGACTGACAGAGCAACTAATTCTATCTTATGACCTTAAAACTTGGTAGCCTACCACAAGCATAAGCACTCCAGTATGCAATTCATGTAGAATGAGACAAAAAGTTATACTGGCCTTAATAAGCTTGGCGATTGAATAACTGCATTCCTTATACTTCGAAGGAACTTCCGCATAGGCTGGTCGTGCGAGGGGGTGCAGCACAGATGTAAATATGGGAAACTGATTCATATGGTAAATCTAAATCCGTATAACCGTGTCTTAATTATTATTAAGACGACTGAATTATCTGCATTCCTATACATCGAAACCACGTCCGCATTGGCTGGTCGTGCAAGGGGGTGCAGCACAGATGTACACCAACTGGACTTGCTCTGTGGCTCCAAAAGTGAAACCCTGACAAAGACTGTCATGATCTCCAGCTGCGTATTTGTTTTCCATCAACGCCATCCTGCATATACTGCCCATGATGAATATTATCACAACTTCTCGCCAAACAAATCCGTGTCTCCATTGATATAAATGTGTTCAGTTTTAGTCGTTTAGTTTAACAAACAACAAAAATCAGAAATCACGCGCATTATGTGGGTATATGGGAATCTCTGTCCTTTAATTTACGAAAGAATGCCAGTTCAAAACACAACACAAAGTTAATCAAGTCCAATCATCAGAAAAATATACTCCACATGACTCCACCTGGGCACTGCAAAATCTGTACATGTGAATAACCCGCGCACGTCTATCACAAATTGTGGGCAACACCCTCGGTTAAGTAAACAAAAAATAATCTCAAACAGCACAAATCTTGCAAATTGTGACAATAATCAACAAAATGATGGAATAAGAAAGCACTTCTCTTGGCTGACTATAACGATCACAAAAAAAAAAATTGTTGGCTCTTCAAAATAGACGTGCTTCATGTTAGCGGTGGTGAGCGCGCGAGTGTGAATGACTCGCTGAGCTGACCACGTGACCTTACACAATCCCTCAGGCAAGGCGTGGATCTGAGAATTTTCACAATTTACCAACGTAAATGTTTCCGGAAACCTCCAAACAAATTATCGCATTAAATACATAAATACAATTATTATTCTAATAATTGTTGTTTGTTTTGTAGGGATTTGAATTTTTGATTGAAAGTGTTGAGTAGCAATGTATATCAAACATTTAGTGGTGATCATGGATTTGTTGGTCTCTCTATACCTCGAAAACAGCGAAAATTAAACCCCCTCTAAATTTTGTGATTGCACAGAATGTTTTTACAGTGTGTTTATTTTAGGATTTTATATTGTAGTAAACCTTATTACGGGTTTTATTCCGACATCAAGACTGATCGTGATTACAGATTGCTGACCGACAGACCCCATAGACATTGATGACAAACCCGAATCTCCAGCTGCCTCTGAAAATCCATTTAGTACTGTAAGTATCTTCTTTAAAAATGTCGTTGATTGCTTTATATTTCCAAATGTAAATTCGTTTTTCTCTGTAGTAACTCTTTCAAAATTAGTACATGTGTAGGAAGGTCTAATATGCTTGTAAATTCTGTGTGTCTGTCTTTGTGTGTGATGCTAAGGAAGCTTTATATAATATGCATGGATGTGTCGTGCGGTTGTCTTTGCGTTTATTATCAGTGGACGGGGTGTTTTGAAATTGACATGGGAGGGCTCTTGTAATTTAATTTATTAGTGTGTATTAATTTTAAAAAGTCTAAATTTAATTTTTTTCATAATGAAATGAAAATATAAGTAATCACAGTCTAGTAAATAGAGAATGCCAGGAACATCAACAATAATTTAAAATATGGGAAAATTATGCATAAGGGGCATAATTGGCTAACTCTGCTAAATAGACAGTGATTCCTTATGGTAGAATTCTTATCATTTTCTTGTAATTAAAATTGATGAAATTTTCACAGAATTAAGAAGGCAATATCACTAAACGATGGTATCAGTGAAATTAAATTTGACCATTTTATATTAGCGACAAGTTCAGTTCAAGGTCATTACTTTTATCCTAGAAATGAATAATAAAAAAAATACTATTGCCAATTATGCGATTCTTACTTGTATTGCAGAACATTAAATATTTTTCTGTTTGCATTGTAAGATACTTCCATAAAGGGTCTATAAGTTATATTACCAAATTACCAATATATATTTTAACTTAAAAGGATATTGGTTTATCCGAATTTTCTCTAATTTTCTTAAATTGTTAGGATACATTAGTTATTTTTGCATGCTTCCTATATTTGAATTTTCATATTTCACATATGGTAAAATGGTCACATGAAGATAAGAAAAACAAAATTGTGTACTTAGAGAGATAATTTAAAAATACTTTTTACGTATTTTTGGCTCAAATCTGTAACCAGATTAGAAGCTTATAAAAGCTAACATAGTTCTAGTTTGTTTGAACAATCTATTTATTTGATATATTTAACTAAAGTCCATAATCATCAATTAAACTTACATTTGAAAAGTTCCTGAAGTCTTTGACTGTGAAAAAATTATAACTTAATTCACTGTTCTATAATAAGTTTGAGAAGCAGAAAAGAATATAGTTTCTTACGCCACTGTCCCGTAAAAAATATAGTCCCTGCTAATTATCAAACACAGTTCACCAATTCTATCTAACGTTGTATAATTGTGATGAGGAAATAAAGATATTGTCTTTTAAATCTCTCAAACCTAGCTAACACTACTGGCTTTTAAAAACCATGTCTTTCTCTGTATCCTACAGCATTTTCACAGATCCACACAGATCCATACGGTATATCTACAGTTTGGTATAGTATGCCAGTTCTGTATATACAGTTAATCTCTGTACAGTAAATATATTATTGAAAGTCCAGGGAAAAATAGCCAATTTTAACACAAACTTGACAATTTGTAGTAATATCGAAAAATTTACATTATATACCCTCATTTTTGATGTTCTTTTCTGAATATTAAAAAAACGTTGACCTATCTGCTTAAATTCAGCAAAAGTTTAAGACTTTTAAATAATTTTCTTGCTTATTAAATTTTCAGTGCCGGAAAAATAACATTTTGTGGGTGCAGAAAGGTCAAATTATTCCTTATGCGAAGCAATTTGAAACTTTTTACTTCGTCACAATTTTAAAGTGTCGTTTTAAAAAAAAAACTTATTGTTCATTTTCCTTAATGCTTTATTTGGCTAATAATGTTAGGGGGCTAATGTCGACATTCAGTGCCAAAGGCCATATTAAATATACTGTAGCACCAAAAGAAGTATATTGACCACAATTTTTTGATTATATTTTTAATTTTAAAAGTTATGTGTGCAGAATCTAAGAATATACTTGACAAAAAAGTTTGAGACTTTAAATATAAGGGGTCAACCTCGTTAAATGTTTTTCAATATAAAATGCAAAAGACCAACTTTTCACGCTTCTGCGTTTTTTCTGTGTCCTTATTTTAAAAATTCCTGGTGTTCGTACCTGCAACTGACAACATCTGTCAAATTTAGGAAGTAGTACTTTTTATGATGCAACAATTCTAAAAGTGAATAAAGTTAGAAACCAAAGAGTGATCACATTCCCTTCTTACAACAGAAGTTCGTAATGCGGAAGTAGAAACTAGTTTTTGATATTTTATATTATAAAAATAAAAACATATATATTTTTAAAAGTTATAAAGTAGTTTTTATTAATAATGAGTCGAAGTTATCAAGATGAAGCTTACTGGCAGGAAAGAATAAGGAGTGAAATAATAGAACGTAAGTATTTCATGTGTGTGTACAGATTTTGCCAAAATTATTCTTTGTAAGAAATATACACGAATAATTCACATATCCACCTAAAGCAATTTCAAATATATTTCAGTTGTATTTTACGTATTTCTTTCCTGAATAACCCTAATACATATGTTTCAGAAAGTTTGCGAAACACATGTATATTGCAATTCATTGTTTGTAAAACTTTCGCAAAACACAGCATATGCAGGGCAGTGGAGTCTCTATAGTTTTTGCTTTGGATACATCAGAGAGAAAGACGAAGGATTTTGGGAGATGAAGGAAGCGTTTGTATCGATCATTGAAGGCACGTTACAATGTAATATCGATAAATATTAGTAAATCATATTTTGTTCGGTTTGTTTTAAACAGAGAAACGAAACGTAATTAATAACTTAAGAAATAGTTTTATGTTTTCTACTTTTTATTTAATACAAAAAAAAGATAATTGTAATTAATTGTGATTACTTTGGTTTTAGACTTTTACCATCATTCTTAATTTGATCATAATGTTGTTGTCATTTAGTTTGGAAGGGATGTCAAATACCTACATTATTACTCCAACAACTACTTGACCTTAAGGAGGAACAGGACCTTTTACTGAAAAAATTCCTGTAGTGAATTTTTTTCGTATTTTTTATACTACTAATTGAATATGTACTTAACATTCTAAAACGGTCCTGTCGTGGGATTTCTTGACTTGTTTTAAAAGATATCGCCCCACAAATACCGCCTTGTGTAGAGTTTGTACGGAGATTAGATACTTCGTGTTTACGGGCCCATAACGTAGTCCATAATGCGAATTTTTACGCACAAACGATAAATATGATAGATTACACTATATAATCAAATATTTCAGAATATTCATAGTGTTTGAATTATCTGAAAGCAATTGTTTTAATTTTTTATAGAATTTGGGTGGGATAATTTCTGCATTTTTCAAGGTAGCTTCAACGACAATCACCTCATTTGGAAAAAAATCTGTCAATAAATATTTCTAAATTTTCGATTGAATGCCAGTACTTCATCGTAATTATTTACTGCATAAATATCACAGGATGAAGCTTACCTCAATATTGCACAGGTCATCGTTGGATTAGACGTAAGCATGATAAAAACGCTTCACGTTCGTATTTTCCGAGTGCGGGAAATTAATTGTGACATCACACGAAAACTTAAACATTTGAAAGTATCTAAATAGAGATAATTTCTGCTACTAAACACGAAAAAATATTAATTTAAAAATCTGCTTCAGAAATTTTTCACGATACATTGACTGTGACCTGTTTATTATGAAATAAAACTGATCATGACGGGTGTGTGTACTTCATCTCGCTGTACTGAGAATTCAAACACTACGTCTATGACGTAACTGACGTCAGACTGTAGGGTAAAGAGAAACAAATGGGTGGATTGGGCAACTTCACAATATCTAAATGATGGGAAGATCTTTAAGATTTTATTAATAATAATTTCTAGAATTAAATGTTTAAAAAACAATTTTAGAACTTAGAATAAAATTACACAAGAACTGTTGATTTTAACAACGTTTTACATGTATATCATCACCGATTATGACGTAATATGTCCTTTTAGTCATGTGACATGTGTCCTGTCTCCCCTTAAAGCAAGTTTTAGGTTTGTTGAATTGTTGTTTTAGCTGTTTGATACAAATGAAGTATGTTTTTTTATAAAGTATAAAGGGAATGTTATAAAGGGAAAGTTATTTACATAAGATCATTAGATTGGTATTGATTTTGTTTCAAGTATGCTGCTTCTGAGAGAAAAAAAGAATCTTCATTACATCTGTACCAAGTATACCGCTAATTTGATTTGTTACATGTACGAATTAGATATATGTAGATAACGAACAATATTCAAGTTCATAGTCCATTAAACAATACAAAATAGGAGCAGAGCAAACAAAACATCAAAGGTGGAATAAGATGCAAAGGAGGAATGAGCATCTCCTGCCGACCGGTCAAACCCGCCTTCTGTTTCTTGTCATGATCGGGAAATAACGTAATGATCAGACGAAAATTCATTGTGTAAATAATGGCCTTACAATTATATACTTTTGGCTATTTTCTCAAATGCTAGGGACAATGCTTTATACAAATCTTGTTGATTGTTAGATTATATTTTTCAAGCATATATTTTACTTCTTAACTTCTAAAATCATTTTTGTAGATGACATTACTTGTGAAGGACCATCAACAATTATGGAGGGATTAACATTGTCAATTTCTGCCCTAGATGATGGAAGTAGGTACAAATATAGCAATTTAACTGTTACATGTTACATAAAGCTTAAACTGACATCGATTATGTTCAGTCATAAAGTTTTAAAAACATTTTCAACAAAATCGTTATCGATTCCGATATCATATCATGTCTTATTAGTAATGTGTAAACTTTGCTAGTTATTTTTACATAAAATGTCACAATTTTGATTTATTTTATTTAATTCACCAGTTTTTGCCAAGGCTAATAATTTTCAATTGGCTGTTCGAATTGTGTAACTTCTGCAAAATAGATATTCAAAATGAGGCGTCACGTCCTTTTTAAAAAAGACATCAATTTTTTATTATAATTTGATATCATACTTTACATATTTAGATTAGATCGATTGACCATTGTTGGACCATTTACCAACAGGGCTAGAGTGGTTTTCATTTCGAATGGCAGTACGAAGAAAATCAATCGTTTATGCGAAGATGGACATTCAACCGATATCTCTAGAAGAGAACAGGAAGTAAACTAAAGTTACATTAGATTTTTGAGGGTGTGAAAAAGGTCTTGTATTGCAAATTGAAATCTTTTTTCCGCAAAGACAATTCTAACATTTTAGATAAGTATTCCTTTTATGTGAAGTAGCATTTATATATTTTTCATATTTTCTAAGAAAGTGAATATCTTAAACCTCGCCAAGTGAATAGGAAATGCAAATCCAATTGTCTGTATTCCTGTTGGACAAGAGCCAAATGTTGTAAGTTAATTTTATATCACGTGAACTTGAAAGCAAGACACACACACAGCGAGAGAGAGAGAGAGAGAGAGAGAGAGAGAGAGAGTCAATTTTCCGTTCATTTATTTTCAGTGTTTACTTGGAGCAGTTGCATATTGGTCGAAGGACGGAAAACTCCTACATCACAAAGGAGTCAAGCAGTATGCAAGATATACTTTTAACATGGTATATATTTCTAAATGCATAAAGAGAATTTTTTTGATTTTTTATCTTTATTTAAGGAATGAATTTAATAGCGAAGCGGTTTATAAAAAAGCGTAAACTGTTCCAACCCAGTTTATACCGTATAAAATGGGTAGCTATTAAATTCATTGCTTATAATTTAATTTTCATTCATTTGATGCAAGAAAAAAAGATTGTTGTTCTAAAAAAATGACTTCAATTTGTACAAAAATTTGAATGTAACGTCAGGCGGATTGATACGTTTTTGACGTAAGTCATTGTGACGTAAGCAACCCATTTTATACGATATGAAGTAAATTTTTTATCCAATCAAAAACAGCGTTACAACCTGAATTAAATTATTTTGTTATGAAAAAATCATATTGATGTAAAACACTGTATTTTTTTAAACTATATTGTTCAAAATGATTTGTAGTTAGTTGCCGGAGAAATTATGGGACGAATTTCTCCGTCTGTATATACAATGGATGATATAAAGACAGCTGTCTTCGTTTGAAGAAAGCAACATGATTTCAAAGAAAAGGATGTGGTATTTATTTGATCGAGACTTTCTTGGATAGATATGAGTGTTGCTGTCTGTTGTTTAGAATTTAGCTATATGTACGTGTGAAAAGTAAGAGAGAGAGATAGAGAGAGAGAGATAGAGAGAGAGAGAGGATAAGATATGATATGATATGATGATTAGAAATACATGTATTTGTATACAAAAGTTACAAATAAATTTACATATGCGAAGAATATAAATGAAAATATTCAGGGTAGCTTATCATGTTGTTTTTCAATTTTTCAAAGAATTTAAACCAAAGTTTAACAGATCGCCCTTCCTATTTAGGAAGACGTGTTTGAAATTTCGAATAACAGACATGCTTATGATATGAATGTGTACTCTAATGAAGAATCAATGGAGGAGAGTGAGTACCGTGAGCGTGATAGTCGACTTCCGCCTCCAGGAACACGTGTTTGAAGAGGAGCAAATTGGCATTATAATGATCAGGACTCAAACGGTCCGGGAATCATAATTGGGCATTGGACTCGGGGTTTGAAAACACTATGTTCCTGGTAAAAATTATTTTGAAAAAAAAAATCATCGAGTATTTCATGAAAAATAAAATGATTTCTTTCGGATTTGGATAGATGCCTTGGTTTATGTTGAATGGGATACCGGAATGAATTTTCCATATGAATATGACACTGAAAATGTCGATTTCAGAGATATCGTCATCACTGATGAACCTTGGTTATTGCAAAGGGAAAACATCGGAGTTGGATGTCTTGTTCAGAGAGGTCATTTTTGTTTAGAGCGACACATCATTGATGGACAGTCTAAGGTTTTTTGTGTGATGCATGGTTATTGATCTCGTGACCTTTAAGCAAGACCTTTGATCTACTTCGCAAAATAGTTATTAGTGCATATAAATGGATGTACTTTGTAACAGCTTCAGTGTACTTAACAAGCTGAAGATGAAATACTTTGAAAATACATTGCCTGATCAGGAAATATATTCCCAAATAGATCACTGTAGACTGTGCATTACAATTTTAGTTTACACCTTGAAAACTTTTTTCGAGGATATTAATAAAATAATATATTACCTGTATTACCTTTATATCCAATCCAATGGTCTATGTAAAATTTGTCTTTTTAATCATGCATGGTTTAAAAGACAAATTTTACATAGACCTCCTTGATTCTATACACCGTCCCAATATTTCAAGGACCGCCATCTTGGTTTTTCCATTTCCAATCAGGACCTAAAATAAATGATACTAATAAAATTTGTCTTAGCATTTTAAATAATTATGATTTAAGACTTCGAACGTTGACTAAACAGGATACTGGAAACTAGTGTTAAAGAAATTAGTATTAACATATATTGAGATTCTGATGGAATCAAGCAATCAAACAGAAAGTAGCTAAATAATTAAAAACATTGAAATCATGATTTTTCTCTTATTTTTATTATATTTAACTTGAAGGTACGATGAAAAAATGGAAATAAAAGCAATTACAGATTTGGTTTTGATGACAAAACAGATTTTGTCGTTTGGAAAATAATATATTCTTGTAATGTTAGTATTTCCCAAACGTTAAAAGGCTGAATTCATGACAAAAATATTATAGATTATTTCATTTAACTGAATGTTCTTATTTCTATCTTTATTTAATTTTTTCAGTGATCCATTTGACGAAAGCATTTCCCATTGCATTAATTAAATAGCCCGTATATCAAACAGATTTCCCAGTTAAACCACGGACTCCATGTTTTACTGACACACAGTATCTTCTGGGGGGAAGAGTACCAATTAATTTCTCTTAGAACTCTATACAAACCTTATGCTCCCTCAGTAATTTACTTATTCCCTTTCAAAAAAATCTCATATCATTTGAAAGTTCATTTGAAGCACTTATTAAAAATACGGAAAAATATATACCGTGCCAGCGCGTTTGTAGGTCAAATTTGCAGTTATTTGCAACTTACAGCGATCGGCAGTAAATAACACCCTACCAAAAATATCAATCCCCACTCCTACAATCTCCCCTGGTATTTCTATATTTTCTGTAATATTCCTTCATTCCATCATTTATATCAAATATTAATATTTTTACTTTAAAATGAAAATATTTACATACCTGATCATGAATTCAGCGAATCGGGTAAAGCCTCCCATTTATTACTCTGCTTCATTTTGTTGAACCAGGAAATGATGTAAACTTCCGGTGATTTGGTACTCTTTTTCGGTAACTAAGGTACTGTCCATATTGTGTATCTGCATCATTTTGTGAGCCCTAGCAGATTCCATTAAAAAAAGTGTTATCCTGTCTTCCTTCTGGTTTTCGTTTTGAGAAAATTGAAAGATCACGTTGTCAGCATATTCGAGATTATCCTGCAGTTTCCACTGAAATAAATAGACCCCTCCTAGTGATCCCAGGGTCCGTGTTTACTCTGCTCCTGTTTTGTATTGTTTTATGGACTTTGAGATTGAATACTGTTCGTTACCTCCATATCCTTCTTGCATAATGTTACAACTACTTAAGACATAAGGTACATAAGGTCATAAACCGATCCATTTCGGAGATAAAAGCAGTTACATGTTGTATCAAGTTACAGGACCTAGAGGCAGGTTTCCTCTCTAGTCTTATAACCTAAAAAAAATCAATGAGACACAATTTTATCTGTTGTCACCTTAGAAGCTGATTTCTTTAACTCTGTACACAAAAACATAGCGTTTAAAACAACACACATGATAGTTGTAGGATCATCTGAAGAAGAAGAAGACAGGGGTACTGAAAGGTACCTTAATTACTATCACTCTTCCTCTTTCTTCTTGTCGTTGACTCGGTCATGTAGTTTACAATTACTAAAGGGGACGTCACTTCACAATTTTTGCGGTGTACATCAAATTGGATAAATTTTTCGTATTTTACTTTTTTTTAATTAGAAACAAGACTGCAGAATCAATTAGAGTTATTATGTAAATCACTCAAATTAAAAACTTCAAAATTTTATTTGCAAAAATCAGAATAATGAAATTTGAACAAAATAAATCACAAAACTCATATAAATGCTGCTTACTGTGTACATTTTTTTTGTTTCTATATGAAAAAAAAAATTATCCAAAGTTTTATACATGTTTAAGAATAAAAGCACTTGCAGTAGCCTTCAACTCGACTTTTAGAAATATCACAAACGTATTATCAATTATCAAAGTTCATTTCCATTGATTTCTTATGTCGAGACGATATATCCCAGTGAGCTTGGAATTAAACATAATACAATGTCTGACACATCTGTTCCATACTGGTATTTAGATATTTTACTTGAAAAAGAATTTAATGAATACCTTACTGCTAATGTTTATCTTAAAAATGATGACTTTAACTATTCAATCGTCATCTACGTTTACTTATGCAGCAATATAATTATATCTTCATTACCTGGACACGGGATTTATATCTCTCAGTTGATTCGATACGCAAGAGCATGCTCAATGTATGAGAATACTAAACCAGGGCAAATTATTTACAAATAAGTTGATAAAAGATAAAAGAGTATTAGCAGTCTCGTTTAAAGTCATCATTGCAAAAGTTCTATGGTCGATACAATGGTATTCCCAGCTAATACATTTTATCATTGAGTCAAATGCCGACTGACGTTTTTTATACTTATTGTTAGATCATTTTTCATACTCTGAATTGTCGAGGATTTTTTTTAATTTCCTGATCATAATAATGAGCACACGGCGGGTGAGACCGGTTGGCAGGGGATGATCACGTCTCCATGGCCTGCTCTGCATTTGAGAATGATAAAGGTTTGTTATCTTATTTGGGATTTATCTGATGAAAATAATCTCAGTGTCCCTCAAAGTCCTACATGTGTATTGGACAGGCTCTTATAAATAGATAAAAAAAATGATTACAGACATAATCGTCATATGAACATCAGAAAACAAACATTTAAATCACTGTACAAATACATACGGGCTTCACCAGTACAATAACAGGTAGGACCAAAGGACGTTATAAACTATGTGAAACACCACTAAATATAAGAACTACTGTAAAGGTATTAATTTACCAAAATTAAATTACAGCTTTTAGTTTGATTTTTTAGGGTTTTATTTTTTTGCTTTTTTTATTTGAAGATTATATTTTTCATTTATGATGGCGTTGGTGAAGTATCTATTTTGATTTAAAAGTTTGACAACTTATGTCTTTACAATTGCTTTTAGCAGATAAACGTAAAAAAGTAAACTGTCTACATTAAACATGTCTCTCTGAGCTGTTTTACTGATATGTGATGAATTACTTAAAGATTCTTTTTCTTTTAAATAAGCAAAAAGCCATGGATCCACAAACTAGTGCCCAAGAAATTCTGCAATGTGTAAATTGTAGTTCCTTTGAGGTAAAGGTTCTCTGTGCGCTTTGTGATGTTAACCTCTGTAGAACATGCATTGGGACACATGTCTTATCAGATGTCACCCGGTGTCATACGTTCGTGGGTTTTTATTTACGAAGTGAAGCTACCATTTTCCCTCGTTGTCCTTCCCACCAAAAGAAAACTTGTGAACTTCACTGCAAGAAATGCAACCTTCCAGTTTGTATAGATGCACAATTTCAGAAAAACACGAGAATCATACATTTTTAAATATTTTTGATATTTTTAAGAAAAAACAATCACGATTTAAATCGGACTTGGAAAAACTGAAGAAGGTTTTTGCTGAAAAGTATAAAATTCTTCTATCTGACGTAGAAAAACAAGAGTCTGAACTTGAGGCGGATTTTAAGAATCTTAAAACAGATATTTCTAATCAAAAAAAGAAGTGGTACATTGCCATCGAAAGACACTTCAATAACCTGAATTCTGAAATAGCAAAACTGGAAAACAAACACAGAGATGAAATGAAAAGATGCAAGGCCAAAATAAATCAGAATATTCAAAAAGTGGAACAAAATATGGAACAAATAAATGGCATCCTTAAATCAAATAATATTTCTAAATCCCTAAAATTTCAAACAGACTTTGAAATGGAGATCATTCCTCAAGTAGAAATACGTTTACCAACCTTTTCCCCGCTTCGAGTTCCAGAGGAGCTAGTTTCTATGTGGATTGGGTCGCTAAGATTTGATGCGGATAAAATAACACCAAGAAATATCAAACAGATTCTTCCACAACCTGGTATCATCGCCAGCGTAGGCACACAATATACCTCTAATCTTTATAACGTAGTAGGCTATACTGACAGACAAATCTGGACAAGCGGAGATGACTGCTCTATAAAAGTATTTCATTCTGATCAGAAAGCACTTTTGAAGACATTCAGCACATTGTCCGGTCATCGTCCAGAAAGCATAGCAATTATAAGTACTGGACATTTAGTTTATACTTATTATCATGAAAGATCTGTAAATATCCTAAAAGATGAAGAAAATTACCATGTAATCAGACTAGAAAACTGGATACCTCATGGAGTCTGCAAAACCTCCTCTGGTCGTTTCCTTGTAATAATGATCAGCAATGACTATAAACAATCAAAAGTTGTCCGTTTCGTAGGTTTCAGAGAGAAACAAACCATTTTTGCTTATAGGGGTATCCCTCTTTTTTCATCAGGAGATTTTTACAGATACATAACTGAGAACAGGAATCTGGATATCTGCGTATCAGACCATGGGGCTGGAGCAGTAGTGGTTGTCAATCAGGCCAGGGAACTAAGATTTAGGTACACCGGCCTTACTCCTGATCCAAAGAACAAACCATTTGATCCACGAGGAATCACCACAGACAGTCAGAGTCACATCCTTATAGCTGACATTGAAAATCATTGTGTTCACGTTATCGACCAGAATGGACAATTTCTCCGTTATGTAGAGTGTGGCCTGGGTTTTCCGTGGGGACTATGAACTGACGAAAATGATTTGCTACTTGTTGCTCAATATAGAAAAAGAAAAATTGATATTATCAGTTATATGCAGTGAAAGACATGAGATTTTATTGAAAGTCAAGGCGTAAACATCACAGAATACGTATATAAAACATTATTGTGTTCGTCTCATAATGTGTGATTTTCTTTCAGAAACATTCTCTGGGTATTCGACTAAAACTATGCAATCGCTAGTTTAATCAACTCCAAAATGCCAAACTATAAATCTGGGATATTTTTAAATGTACTTATAGTACTCAACATGTTATCTTTTTATGTCTCTTTGCAGATAATCACCAAGTATTGTACAAAATACTACATTCAAATATTGTTTGATAACATCAGTCAAAACACATACATACCCATTCTGCTATTTCACTTTAAGACCTTATTGGAAATTACTCAATATTATGTGAACAGATTTCTCATAGTGTTCTCCATTTAATATAACTTGGACACGACGAAAGAATATCTGTCATATTGACTATAGATCATAATGGCGTGTCACTGATTTTAAAATAAAACTGCTATACAATGAAATATACACACCTTTCGTCCGCTCTATTTTCAGCTGAATATTGTTGCGATCAACGTGGTCTGTCCCTAATGCATGTTCCTCCCAAACACTTTCAATTTTGCGTGCAAGGAGCTCGTCTCTGTATATGAATTGTGAATATTTTCTCATTGGTTTGAACATTGTTCTTGATAAATATTTATTCAAATACAGTAAACATACATATTTATTTCATAATACTTATGAGGTATGTTTTCAAAAAACATAATACCCATACTTCCTGAATTTTTCATTCATTTTGGCCTGATGCTCCATTAGTATCCTCGGTACATCCCTGCACTCCCCTGAGGCATGTAGCCAGTTACATGGAGATAACAACACCTGATTTTGAAGTGTACTATTTCTTTCCGGAACAATGTGTATGCTGTCTGTAAAACACTAGCAGTACACTTAACTCTTTACAACTTACCGAACTGTTATGCAACATACACTTAATGATCACGTCATAGAAATAGAAATTTACCATTTCCCCGCAAGCACCTTTTAGCGTGGTACACGTTTCTCTAAAGTTTAGCGTAAATAATATGACGTACGTAATATTTTGATACAAACAAAACTTTTCTTATTTTATGAGATATTTGCAAGTATAAAATAGAAGAAAATTGACAATAAATTTAAAATTAAATGAACTTTTTAAAGTGCGTGAAAATGCGTGATTGCGAGGAAACGGTATATGCGTGATTTTGCGTTAGAAAAAGGAAATGGTATATGTGTTAAAATGCGTTACTGCGGGGAAGGAGGTAAAACCCCAGTCACATTTCCAAAAACGACCAACGGTCGATGGGTTTTGAAGCAAAAATGGGGTTCTTCGGGTGACAGTCGTCAGTTCATCGGCCGTTGTCCTGGCCGATTTTGACCTCTTTTTTTGTCGGCCGACCAATTTTGTGTCCATCGGTGCAAGTTATAATTTTTTCTGCGTCGGTGGCCGATTTCTTCAATTGAAGCAATCCGTCGACCAACCTTCGATCATCGTCTGACCATCGGCGGTCAGTTTAAGTATAAGTCACATTATCCAACGATGGGGTATACGATGAGAAACCGATGCGTTTTTTGATGAAAATGGCGTGGTTGCCGGCCGGGCACCATTAGTGATCGGACGGTGACTGAGTCGTTTTTGCGAATCGGTGGGGTCATCGGTAGGAAATAATTCGTAGTTAAAATTCAGCGATGTCTCTACCGATGCCTCACATCGCTCCTCATCGGCAACCCATCATTAACAAATCTTTCAAGGATCGGCCGATGTATGACCGAGCATCGTCCAATATACGTTGAATCTGAGGTCATCGGGGAGTTAAGTTGTGTTCAACAGATAACGACCGATCATCGGTCGATGTTCGACCAAACATTGGCCCGTAGTCGACCGATGTACGACCGATGTTCACCAATGTATGAGCGATGTAATATACATCGACCGATTATCCTGGAACATCGTTTTATGATTAGCAATGTATCGCTGGGCCTTCGTAAGTCCGGCCGGCAACCACGCCATTTTTCTCATAAAACGCATTGGTTGCCCATCGTATGCACATCGCTGGATAATGTGACTGATACGTTAAGGACTACTAGGCCGATGTGGACCGATGTTGGGGCATCGTTAACACCACGGAATACTACCGATTACCACCGGTCTACGGCTACCGGCCGGGAAATGTGACCTAGGCATTATCAAGTCGGTTGTCCTTCGTTCGACAATAAGGGTGTTTAAAATTTAGACCGACGGTTAAAATCAAACTTTAGTTCAGAGCTCGATGATAGGCGACGATTGGCCGACTTGTGAATATTTAACCTATTAAGGATACATAACACAAACAAAATTTTGATGCATGAATTGATACATATATCTTGAACGGAAATTACATAGATAATTAATCCGTAAGAAATAAAGAAATCTGAATTATTCTTTGCTGCTTAGATATGCACCATTTGTCGTTTTTATGCAGTTCCATACACAAATTTGCACACATTTTGAACTTTGAGTCACAATTTTATAAGATTCTGAAGCTTTGCCTTGCGAACATTTCTCACGTTACCTATCTGAATATAGATGTATGAAAAAATATTGCTGATTTCTCAAGAAAAAAAATATGTATCCAAGTCATCGGTGTCCCTAGAAATTAATGTGACTGCTCCGTGTCGCCCGATACTGTGTCGGCCGATCATGTTCTTTCAGCCAACAAGACCAAAAAAATTTAGTCGCCCGACCAACGGCTTAAATGTGACCTAGGCATTAAAATCATACTGGACTCTCCATTTTCTCTGCAGGATTTGAACGTAATTTATGAAACAATGATTTGCAATTATGGAGAAGATGAAATGGATTACATTCAGAAATTTTATTGGAACATTTTTATTTAAAATTTAGATGAAGGAGACCTGCACATCAATCTGCATTTATAAATCTTAAAATAATAATGAATATACTATATAGTATATGAAAATATATAGGTAATAAAGCTGCTCCAAAGCCCTGACCTTACATACCCCCATATTTCTATCCCCGGATAATCCATAGAGAAATGAATTTATCAGAGCACGCCAAAATATTTGGTTGCACTTCTGTTACTTACTTGGATATTTTACTCGAAAAAGACATTAATGGTAATCTAACAACCAAGCTATATGATAACGTGATGACTTTAACTTTTCTATCGTCAACTTCCCTTACTTATGCAGCAATATACCTTCATCACCTGCATACGGAGTATATATGTTACAGTAAATATGTGTAAACAGGAATTTCACGTATTTCCTGAATTTTAGGAAATACATGAAATTACTATTCTGCTTAGGGAATACACGTATTTACTAATTTCAGTTAGGAAATACACGTGATTACTGAACTTTTCAATACTTTTTACATATATTTACTGACTGCGTTTTCGTGGGATAATTTAGAATTTGAATCATAAAATATGAATAGATGAACAGTATAATCAATGTTCATATCAATGAGCATACCATATGTGAATAAATAATATTTGAAATAAACTTTTATTTATGTATAAATTTTGAAAATGTATTATTTGTAAATATTAACTTAAAATATAATTATACTCTGCTTTCATTTTTACTGGAATGTGTTTTCTATATCACAACATACTTTAACTAACTTTCAATTATTTTTATATATTTTTATCTAAAGAACTAAAATCGCTTACTGGCATTTCTTATTTTATTAGCTATTCATACACTGCTACAGTTTTTGACAGTAAATTTAACACCCTGAAGCATCGTATTTACAAATAAAACAATTTTTATGCTGTCTCCTCAAAAATGCAATAAACCACCACCCCCTCCCTTTGTAAAATACACATAATGTAACGAAATTAAAGTATATATATATATATATATATATATATATATATATATATATATATATATATATATATATATATATATATATATATATATATATATATATATATATATATATATATATATATATATATATATATATATATATATATATATATATATATATATATATATATAAATATATCTCAATTGATTCTATACGCAAGAGTATGCTCTACGTATAAATAGCTTCTCAAATAAGATAAATTATTGACAAAGAAGTTGACGAAACAAGAATAACAGCAGTCTCGTTTAAAGTCTTCATTTTGTAAGTTCTATGGTCGATACAATGACCTTGTCAGCAAATACAGTTTATCATTGAGTCAAATGCTGACTGACGTTTTTCATTCCGATTGTTAGTCCATTATTTTTACACTGAATTGACGAGGATGTTTCCGTTATTTCCAGATCATGACAACGAGCACACGGCGGGTGTGTCCGGTCGGCAGGGGATGGTCATTCCTCCATGGGACCTGATCCCACCTCTGATGTTTCGGGGGTCCGTGTTTGCTCTGCCTTTATTTTGTATTGTTTTATGGACTTTGAGATTGAATACTGTTCGTTATCTCCATATCCTTCTTGCATAAAGAGGAGAAATGACGTTTCTTCCCCCATTGACTTATTTTGTATACCCTGCAAAGGGAAACAACTTTTGCAAATTGTTGACTGGACTATCCCAACCTGTTTAAGGTATTCAATCCCCAAGAGGAACAAATTCAATGAAATTTAATACTTAACATATATGTAGGCATTGAATACTCAATTTATTTAGACATGCTTCCCATTTATTACTATTAGTATGTATTGTAGGATGTTTCCTAATTTATGACCTTGAGTGTAAGTAAAATTTATCTCCCCTTTTTCATTAATAAAATAAAAAAAATTAAAAATCTTAAGTTTGTAAAAATATTGTTTTCAATTGTCATTCTATTTTTAATATTTCATTGCATCTTTCCACCGCAGGATTTATTGATATTCAAATTATATGAATTTTAATTTTGAAAAAACGCTTTTCCCCATAACGTACGAGTACCCATTATTGCCGATTTTCGTTTTTACGTTTAAAAATCTGTCAAACGGTAGTTATTTGTAATTTTTTCGCATGATTCACGAATTACACAATTTTTGTTT